ATAGATCTACTTGATTTTAACTATTTTTGGAGTTTAAAATTTTATAATTAGATATAAAAATGGATTTTCAGATAATCCTAAGAATATTTTACACCAAAATTATATATTATGATAAAAATTGGAGGTGTGCCTTAACTGGATTGTTGTCTAAGGTTGCAACCTTATAGAAACCACACCATTTAGAAAAAGTGATGTCTCAACATTGAACAAAGGCCATCCAGTTTTTAGATGGTGAGATCAAATTTTGAGATTTGAGTATATTCTTTTAGAAATATATATAATGAGGTCACAATTTGAAATCGAGTGGTTGAGGATGCATAGCTTGAGAACAACGTCCAAAATAAAATTTTTGAAATGTTGTGGTACTTGTTCATCTATTGGATTTTACATCTAATGACTAAAAATAATTATGACCTCCCCGTATCCAAAAATAAATGAGTCTCATTAAATACAATACCATTATTTTTTTTGCAAAGAAAAGTTAGAATGTGTGTTCATCAATCCCTATTCTTTTTTGCAAAGAAAAGTTGGAATGTGTGTTCATTAAACTTAGATTTGATTGTCTAACCATTGAACTAGTCTATGTTCAATCTCAAAAAGTTATTATCAAGAAAAACATATATGAGAACAAAAATTTAGTTTTCTACTATCCCCCGAAATGTTGCTATGTTTTGGTAGATGTATATGGTCGAGACTTGGATTTATACCAGAAATTAGTTCAGAGTCAAATTTCCAATTGGTTTAAACGCAAAGCATTAAAGGCAAGGTTCATCAAATAACGGCCATAAATAAAAGAAGGTTTTCCTACTCTTGCTCCCCACGTTTCAATCCAGGGAAAATTACAAAAAAAAACCTTCAACACCATATTTTCTATGCAACTTACCCCAATCTATTTTTTTTTTACTTTTTTTTTCCAAAAAACAAGCTTTTTATGCATATAACCCCCAAGGAAAAAAGTTCATTGTTTTAAATGGAAATACCCTTCCGGTACACAATAATCATTTTTGCCAAATTTGATGTTGATTTTGGACCCTAGTACCACATTGTCGGAGCTCACCACCACATTGCCTCACCACACAAGTGTCGACGCCCTGAAATCTAAACATTTACTGACGGACCGCCCTTTGCAACTTCCTGATCGCACTTTGCAGCTGCTAGATCGCATTTTACACAGTGCTGGTGTGCTACTGCCGGATCAAGATAGCACTTTACACAGTACCGGACGGAGCGCACTTACACAGTATCGGAGCCCCTATTTTGGTGGGATAGGGGAGAGATGCTTGTGGGTACTAAAAGTAAGGGAGAATAGCTTACATATTTTTTTTCATTTTTTTTTTGGTTAGGGGTATTTGCATAGAGAGTGTATTTCAGAATAAAAAAAGGGAGAGAAAAAGTTAAGTTGGGGTATGTTGCATAGAAAGTTTAGTTTTTTTTTTTTTTTTGTAATTTTCCCTTGAATCTACCCTTATAAACCCTAGCTAATCCTCATTTTAATTAGAATTTAAAAAAATAAAACAAAATCAGTTGATTTAAAACAGATAACCTCCTCAAAAGGCTAATTATCCAAAATAATATATAGAAAGAGCACCAGCTGGGCCCTAATCACATGGTCATCGCCCACCCCTTACTAAACCCTGCTATCATACCTGCCCCTAAAACCACAGTCCCTGCCTCTACCTCCACGGTCGCAATCACGCATAGACTTGGATAGTTGCAATTTAAGAATTATAAATATTCTTCACATTAAAGCAAGTGGAATCCAAGTTTACACATAAATATTTTAAGTTCATAAAAACTGACATTTCATAATTTTATTTGTAAGTTGATATTATAATTATAAACAATTAGTTAGAATTCAAATTTTAATATTTTGATGTAGGAAAAAAAATAAATAGCAAAATAAAACGAAAATAAAGGATGGAGAGATTATATCTTTTCTCTTGGTGCGCAAGGGTGTCCAACCAAATATCTTTTCACAAGATCAAACTCTTTATTCAATCACCAATAATACATCTTCTTTTTAGAAATACTTAGCTGAAAAACTAAATAAATACATAAAACCCAAAAATAACTTTACCACTTTTTATAAATACATAAAACTCAAAAATAACGTTACCACTTTGTCAACCCCACTCTTATCTCTCTAGCTTCATATTTGATGATTACCCATTTCTAAAAAATACGAACTATATGTTCATAAAAATTTATTCTAACCAACTACAATAGATAATTTATTATTCTACCATTTAAATCTCTGGATCTAAAAAAGGCCAAAGTAACCTTAAAGAAAGCTAAAATCTCAAATAAATTTTTTTTTTAAATTTTAAAATATAATTTTTTTTAAAAAAATTGATTTTTATTTGCATCATATTTTAATGATAAGAGCACTTTTGAGCACCCACTTTTCAATAAATAATTCTTGATTATCTGCTTACAAGCTAATTTGATACTTGATAGATAATTGTGCATAGATTAAGATAATTTTAATTCAAAAGGATAGATTAAAATAATTGTAATTCAAAAGGAAAATTATCAAATCACATCTCATAGTTGATTTTGATAACATTATTTTTTAGCAAAAAAGTAGTTTTAGATAATGTAATTTTAATTTATAATTTAAATAAGTTTATAAACTTGAGAGCTTCTTTTACTTAATGCAAAATTAGAGTTTATGTTAATAAGAAATCATAAAAATGTGATGTGTCTCACCTGTTGAGTGAAAATTCGATTTTCAAAACTAC